TTCTGATTCGCAAAATATCACATTATTTACGGTGGTTTTGTGTAGTAACCACTAGGAAAGTACCCAACTTTTGTTTTTTGACAAAAGTTATTTATGTGTAACTTTGTGACAATTTTTAATGTCAACTAATATTTCCTGGTTTCATTTACGTGACCCATTCTTTTCAGCGAACAAAAAAATGGTCGATCGCTGATTGGAAAGTATGAGCCTAGCTGATATTTATAAAATTGTAGAGGATGTAGACGAGGTACCTAGTGATAATGAGTCAGTACTAGATGATCTGGACGCTGTTATGAGTGATGAAATACCCATTACTCAAGAAAATGCTGACCTAAATAATGATCTTTTCAATCTTCGGAATATGGATGTCATTTTTGAGGACTTGATCGAAGATGAAACTGCTCTTTAGACAATGCGCAGTGGGAAAGTGACGATGATATTCCACTAGCTAGAAGAAATGATATATTTCTGCCTTGCTACTGGACCAAAGATACAGTATACATCAACCAACCAAGCAAATTTGAAGAGAAGAGGCTGGCCCTAATTTGCCTGATATCATTGAAACACCTACGGACGTTTTTTTGCACCTATTTCCTGAAGACCTCACCGACCATATTGTTTTTCAAACAAACTTATATGTGTACAGAAATTTGGCGATGGAAGAAAACTTCGTTCCTACAACGAAGAATGAAATCAAAGTTTTCTTCGCTGTAAATTTGCTGATGGGTGTAAAAAGGCTACCCAGTTATAAAGATTACTGGTCGTCAGATGAAGTGCTCAGAGACTCATTTATTAGTGGCTGTATTTCCAGAGACCGTTTCGCATGGTTACTAAGTAATATTCACCTCAATGATAATTCCGTACAGCCCAAAAAGGATCAGTCACCATATGACAAACTTTATAAAGTGAGGCCACTTTTTTCCAGATTACAAGAGACATTTCTTTCTTCACTAAAGCAAATGAGTTTCAGTCAGTAGATGAATCAATGATACGGTTCAAAGGCCGCAGCAGTATCAGACAGTACATGCCAATGAAACCTATAAAGCGCGGTTATAAGGTTTGGGTCAGAGCAGATTCCAGTGGATACATGTGTGAATTTCAAATCTATACCGGCAAGGTGGATCACGCTCCAGAAAAGAAATTAGGAGAGAGAGTTGTTATAGATCTAAGTAGAAACTTGGTTGGAAAAAACCACAAGATTTACTTTGACAACTTTTTCAATTCTGTCGAGTTACAAAGACAGTTGATCAACAATAAAATATACTCCTGTGGTACCTTACGAAAGGGTAGAAAGCACTGTCCTGAATTCAAGTCAGACAAGGATATGAAACGTGGTGAAGCCGATTGGCATATTTCCAAAGATGGTTTAGTTGCCCTGAAATGGGTAGACCGGCGTAGCATACTTATGTTGGGAAATCACAATGATCCCTCTGTTTTAGATACAGCATCTAGAAAAAGAAAAGACGGCTCTCCAGAGGATATACCATGTCCCCAGATGGTTTGTGAATACAATGCCCATATGGGCTATGTGGATCGCTTTGATATGTTGAAAAGTCTCTATGAAGTTAACAGGAAAGCACATAAGTGGTGGCATAGAATTCTATTCTACTTCCTAGATGCTTGCGTTGTAAACAGTTTTATACTCTTCCAGCTAAGAAGTAACTCTAAGGGATTAACTCTGAAAAAAATTCGACTGTCTTTGGCACGAGGTCTCATTGGAGTAATAGGACCCACTAAATGAGGAAGACCATCTTTTGCACCTACTGTAAATAGATTCAAGAAGGTGGTACCCTATGAAGTACGATACTGTAAGGCTTCTCACATGCCTGAAAGATCAACATCTCTTAGATACTCCCACTGCAGTACACTTGATAATCCACATAGAACTATATGGAAGTGTTCGACGTGTCATGTGGGATTATGCTTGAATAAAGATAGAAAACTGCTCTCACTGTTTCACAAAAGATAACTTTTTTTAATTCTTTTTGGAAGTGTACCTTAGTTCCTGGTGGTTAGCGTTGGTGACCACGTCCTGAAGGATAGCTATTTCACATGTTTATTTGAGAGTACTTTGTTTTAGAGGTTTATTTGTACTATTTTTAACTCATTGTTCAATAAATTTTAGGAGTTTGTGAATTTTAATTAATTTCGGGCTCAAAGGGTTAATAAAGAAATACCTGCGACAAAATTAGAGCGACTCGTTTTGTATTTAGTTTCGCTAAAGTGTAGTTGGTCAAGTGTTGGATTGAAACAACAGAGAAAATTATTAGCAATGCATAGGGGAAAACATTATTGCGTAGATTTAAAAGAAAACATTTTTGAAGCTTATAAATCAGATCGCAAAAATTAATAAAAGAGCAATTTCATGTAAATAAACAAATGGTTGCAAGAACAATACAAAATATTGGTTGTTAACCTTCAGAGAGGTAGTCGGAAGAGAAAAAAAACTTCAACACAGTTGGTTAGGAGAATTAAGCGTTTAAGTCATGGCTATCTGCCAATCAAATTTTGGCTCAGATGGATGTTCCGGGAGTTTCATCTAACACTGTTCAGCGGCGATTAGTGCAGGCGGGGCTCCCTGCAAGGAGACCAGCTAGAAAACTCCATTTATAAAAAAAATGTGATTGCTAGGATGATGTTTGCACCACGTCAATGCCACTGGATAGCTAAGGACTGGAACAAGGTTTTTGTTTAGTGACGAGTCTAAGTTTCATATTTTTGGAAATGACGGAGTGCAGTTCGTAAATCGTCCAGCAAATAAAAGACTTGAAATTGAGGGCACCATGGATGCTCTACGCCGAATGGGAAATGCCGCTAAAGTTTACATTCCAACATGATAATGACACCAAACATACTGCCAAACTTGTGAAGGAATGGTTTGGGGCAAATAAAATTCAAGTTTTAAATGGCCACTGCAATCACCGGACTTGAACCCCACTGAAAATCTTTGGGAGATAATTGAGAAACAGATTCGAACCAAAATTATCAGCAATCGTGCTCAGTTATTTAAAGAGATTGATAATGCTTGGAAACTAATGGATCCAGCTATAATTTCCAATCTCATTGGGTCGATGCCAAATATACATATGTCAAAAAGTAATTGAGAACAAAGGGTACTGGACGAAGTATTAGTTTAGTTTCATTAATATAGGATACAAATGTATTTCAAGGATAAGTCTTTCTAATTTTGTCGCATATAGTTTTTTATATTTTTTTTTGTTTTCTCTAATAAATCTTTGGAAACAACGTTTATGAATTTATTTTTAGTATCATTTGAGACTACTTAATGACATAAATCTTTTAGCTCAATTACAAAAATTCAATATATTTTGCATTCCATAAAAGGTATAATTAATTTTGTCCGATACTAAGATGTTGATTTTCTTCATTTTTGACATTTTCCGCTACAAAAGGATGTTAGTACTGCTGCTCAATGATATCCCCACTAATTGTGAATACAGATTCTTTGTCATGATGAAGCAAACCAGTCTACTAACCGGATCAGACATTTAATCATTTCGGGGTATATCTGGCATTGCTCATATATTAAGCGACAACGGCGATTAACGTGCGTTTGAACTACTGATAGAGGCTTTCAACCAGTTATATGGGGCTAAGCAGCTTCTGGCGCGGTTAGTATTTGGATGGATAGCTGCTTCGATTCGCTCGAGAACTACACGCCACTAGTCCCAACCGATTGCTGCCATTCACTATTCTCAGTGATCGATTCCTGTGGTAGATGGCGCTTCGCCCTGCCTTATTTCGATAGATCGCACACATAGTTGCTAAGCTTTCGTTCGTTGACCGTGAGACCAAGCCGTAACAGTTCGGAATTTCTTCATTTTCAGCTAATACTTTTCCTCCATGGAAGTCGCGGCGCCGTTTGTTTAGGCTTACTGTTCGGGATTTCATCTAATTTTCAGTAAATATTCTGATATAATCTAGTTATCTCAGCATTTTCCCCAACAAGACGTACAATTTGGCAATAATACACATTATTCATTATATCTGATAGGGAATGAACATTTGTAAACTTTTCAAACAATACTCATAAACGCTAGAACTTTCATTTTATTAAAAAATAATGGAATTGCTAAGGATTTTCAAGGAAACGTATTGAAAAAACAACACAACACCTATATAGTTTACAAATTAAAAAACATCACTTACTGTATGTTTACTCAGTGACATTAGAAGTCTTACACCCAGAAAAAATAATTTCTTTAACTTGTCTTTCTGGCAACATAACGTATTTAAAACATGCTGTGGCGACAATGTCATCTTAGTTTTGTGTACCTTTGTTAAAATGTTATCTCTTAGTTTTTGGGAAGAAAGCAGCTTCTGAGACCTGAGTAGTATAGGTATTTTCAGTTATTGCCCTTTCATTTACTAGTATTAAGAATAAAATGCCTCGAGTTGGAAGACGTTCAAATTATCACCATGTTAGCGACTTTGGCAGGAGTAGAATTATTGCCTATCGAGATGTTATTGTTTCGTTCTTGATGTAAGACTACCTCATTGCCAAACATCAAGTTGAAGAAATCTTTTTTTCTGGGTGTCACACTTCTAATGTCACCGAGCATATTTTCATCGTTGCATTTTGTTCAAAGGATGGCCATTTCTAAAGACTTCTTCTATTTCTCTCGAAAGAACGAAACATTTCGATGTTTAGGCGCAAAAGTTTTGCCTTACCTTTATTTGGAGTTAATTAAAACCTTCTTTTGGGTATCTGATTACGTCTTAACCGCGCGAAATTAGCCAGTGCTGAACAACAATTTCAACTCTTATACAATATCAGAGCGCGATTGCCGCATAAAATAATCTGAATATGGTTTAACGTTATGTGCTTTGATTCTCTGGCAGTCCTGTATGGTATCCGTCATCGCGAAGTATAACGGATGCTTTACTTTCAATAATGTTCATCGAATGTATCTGCAGATGGGTCAAGGGCGGAACAGTTTGCTCATCTCTAGAAAAATATCCTTTATTTTGTTTTTTCTATGTCTGAAGGCATCCGAAAGCTCATGGAAGGTGACAGAGAATTGCTGTTGCTAAAAGCCCGCGCATCAAAACCAACTTATCTTCCAGAGCAATGGAATGAGGGTAACCAAGACTACTCAAGGTCACCTGATAGACGGAGAGATAATTCTCCAGAGCCGATGGACAATGCTGTGCCAACCTATGTCTCTCCACCTCCTTCCTTTGACAGGAGTTTTAAACCTGCTAAAGTCAAAGAACCAGAAAAAGACGTAAGTTTTTATATATGAACTTACATTGATGAACATATTACACAAGAAGATGCCCAATTCAGATGAAAGCGGCGCTAAACAATTTATCCTTACAACTTACAACTATACTGCCATACTTAGGTAAAAGATAGTAAAGTTCATTTACTGCCTTTTTTAAATTGATTAGAATAAAAAATATATCATTGACAATGGAATAGTTATTTTCTCTCTTTACCAAATATTTCATAATTACATTTCCTAAGCAAAACAGCAGTAATTCAATTTATCAAAGCAAAAAATAATTACATTCCCTAAGCATAACAGCAGTAAATCAATTTATCAAACCAAAAAGCAGTAGTTTTCAAACTATACTTTTTTGATTTTCTATATGATACAGGTACTTACTTATACTTTTTACCCTTTACAACCTATTATGATGTTTACTTATTTAGTTTCTTATGCAATAATTCTATTATTTGTGAATAAGTATTTATCTTACTTTCGCTCCGAAAGAATAGTTTTGCAAAATATTCTTCCTTTAATTTAACATATCAGAAATGATGCAGCTAGATGCTAGTTTATTTATACAATTATTTTCAATGAATGTAAATTATTAAATCTACAGAGTGAACATAGTGATGTTCTAATGCTGGCATTCTTAGGGCGCTATTGACGTACGCCGCCCAACAAAATGACGTAGAGATGACTTCATTATGACGGTCTAATGTCACACCCAATTGACGTCATTATATGTCGTTTAAAAGATCAAATACAAGGTCGATATGACGTCTATATGTCGTGGATATGACGTCTATCTGAGGTCGATATGACGTCTATGTGACCGTGCTTGATTGCAAACATTTTAGTAAAACTTGTTTATTATTATACAGAGAAGTTTCTAATAAATTTGCTATTTACGGGAATAAAATATGATGTAAGATGTCAATTTGAAATATCTGAACATGGAATATTATTATTGGAAAAGTCACATTAATAAGATATTTTTGGTCGAAGAATTCCTGATACTTTTTATAAATAACAATAAAGTTGTTATTGTATTTGGATATCTAGTTTACCTTACACTAAAAGCCTATATATTCTTCATAGGTAAGTGTTGATTTTTCAGTATTGCCTGTCATAAAAAGACGTCAAAATGACTTTTAAAGGACGTCTTGTTGCCATAAAAAAATGGTCTCAATAAAGCCGCCATTTTTGGGTCAATGACGTTTCCGACCAAAAGTGACCGAATAATGACGTTATTTTGGCTTCATAATGTTCGATGGGTAATCATAATTTTTTAATTGAATTATTTGATGTTGAAAAGGTGGTGCTATTTATATGAAATTCAATATGAATAAATTATAAGAAAATAAAATAGGATTCTGTATTACTGCGGATTTCCTTTGAGAGAATAATAAAAATAGATTATGGAAACTACGAAAAAAGGCAGTAAATTTTGTTTTTGCAGAGTATAATTGCAGTAAATCACAAATCACTGCTTTTTGATTTACAACAGTAAAATAAGGAATTTCATTTATTTTAGGCCTCAACAACAGTTATAATCCGAAATCACATTTAAATGCCTCTCTCATGTACCTGCAATATTCATTCACTTTTGTTCTGTCGTCATAATATTATTTACTTAGTTCGACAAAAAATCCAGAATTATGAACTCAATTTACTCAGACTCAGATTTTTACAATTAACTTTCTTCTACCTACGGCAGTATACATCAGCGTAGTCACTTAGGAAATTTCTATTTTCGTCGTTCTGAGAATCAGAATTGTCATGAATCTACTTCTAATGACTAAGACCTACATGGCTGTGACGATGTATGCTAACGTCAAACTACAGCATAGGGTTTTGCATTTTCTTCGAAAATGCGTTGATATGAGTATTATCGATACAATAATCTCCATTTTTTCATTTTATTTTAGGTGAAGGGGCGAGGCTTCACGGGAATCCGAAATTACAAGAATTGCTGTTTTAAGAGCGCGATCTTACAATGTATGAAAACCTTGCCGTTCATAAAAGAGTACTTTGTGAATACAAACAGGTACTTAACCCTGAATCGAAGAGTACCTCCGGTATTCAATATATTGATGGGCGAGGTAAGATTTTCCTAGGCAAAACCTAAATACCAAAGTGCTGCAATTGTTATAGCAAGGTTCAACAGAATTTTGAACTAATTAAAATCGATAGAACCTTAAAAAGTTCTCTGTCATTTCGATAAGAGATAGCTGACTTCTCGTCGTTGTGAAAGAGGCTTGTAGTACTTTCATAAATTTGCACTATGCCGTATTCAAGTATCAGAAACTTAGGTCTATTGTGCTTTCTACAGGTGTTTGATAAGCTGTGGGAGGGTTGAGAAGATGATCCAAAAGTCTACAATCCCCAATTTATAAGGGATAAACTCAGCCGCTTGAACCCAATGTTTGAAAAAGGCTGGCATGAAGATGCGTTCGAGTCCTTCACATTTTTCTTCGGTCAACTAAGCGAGGATTGCACGGTCGAAATGCCCAGACCGGATGTTGGTTTAGTACTAGATTAGATTTTGTTCGTTGTTCCATCTGTATCCTGCTGATGAGTCGCTATAATGATAAAACACTGCCGTATATGGTTGGTTGGAGCGAGAAAAGCAGTGTTCACGATTAGGCCGCGATTAAATTCCTAGGTGTAAGACGTCAGATGTATACTTTTCACGGTGTCTGGTGTCAGTGTTACCAGTCCTAGTCTACCGATTTTAATGCGAAATCAAATCTACCGAAAAACCTCTTAAATGCTGGAATAGCATATTTCTGATATAATTCTACTATAAACTTGAGAAAAAGAGCCAAGAGCTGTCTGCCATCCTCAGCCTTTCACTATTTGATGATGATGAAGGGGGCTCTCTTCCATTTTCAAAAACACGTGGAGCTCAAGCAAGGCGCCATCTTTCTCCGGCAAGATTTTGTTGTTCACCGAAAAAATTCCTCGTTTCAACTAATATTGGAAATAACCTGAAATCTGAATTGAAAAAAAAATAGGTGGGGGGGGGGTTGTAGACAGGGTGGGGGAGGGTATATATCACTTTTTTGATGTTAGTACAAATATATTTATGAGGGCGGTTCAATAAGTACCCGTGTTATAAATGAACACAATTTTTTCTAGTATTTTTTATTTTTATTTTTATAGTCCCCTTTTAGAAAGATACACTTTTCGAAATGTCCCTGCCATTATTCAACTCCTCCAAAAAATAGGATTTGTCGAACGCGAGCCATTTCTACGCGTTAGGGAACAAGAAAAAGCCGCAGGGGGCCAGATGGGGTGAATACGGGGATTGCAACAGCTCTTCATAACGCAATTCATGCATTTTGGCGACGACAACTCGGATGAATGACCTGTTGCGTTATCGTAGAGAATCAGCACCTTATTTTTCGCTAAATGCGGCCGTTTTTCGTCGAAGCGATCCAATAACTTACTGTAGTATTGTCCAGTGATCGTTCTTCCTTATACAAAAAAATACATGAGGATGACGCCGTTTGCATCCCAAAAAATCCTTGCCATGACCTTTCCGGCCGTTGGGACCGTCTTCGCCGTCTTTGGAGCAGATTCACCGGGAGAAATCCATTGTTTTGATTGTTGCTTAGCTTCTGGTGTGTAATGACGAATCCAGGTTTCATGAACGGTGACAACTCGACGCAAAAACTCCTTCGGTTTTCGCTTAAATTGCTCCAAACACTGCTTCGAAGGTAACACCCGCATCCGTTGTTGTCCACCGTGAGCAAACGCGGCTGACAATTTTTTCATCTCCAACTTATATTTATTGCCGTTCCAGTCGACACACCTGCGGCATCTGCTACTTCGGACCTTTTCGTTCGTCGATTAGATCATGTCGAGGACATTTTGAGTGATTTCCTCGGTAAGCACGTATGCCGTGCGTCCTGGTCGCTCCTCATCAAAAACGGATGTTCGCCCATGTTCAAATTCGTTGAACCAATATCTAACTGTGGTCATAGATGGCAAAGTGTCCCCATAACCAGCATCCTACTTTGATTTTATCTCATTTTTTCCCATCCAACAACTGTAAGCCTTCCTTTCCGCAAAAAGTCCAGAAAAGATGGAATGCAATGAAGATTCCAACTTTTCTGCACAATCACAGAAAGGGGGTTACCATTAGTTTCCGGTAGCTCAGTCGGTGGCATGAAGACATCTACAGGCGTGTAGCTGTGTGTCGACCATGGCATGGCTAGAGGATAGAAGAACAAACAGAACACAAAAATTTAACAGATTTTATTTAACAAAAAAGCATTTTCATTACATTACAATTTTAAAGAACAAAATAAGTTTTAAATCTTTGGCGCTGCTATAAAACTATACACTTATCTTTCGCTGGTCCATTTTGACTGGACTGAAGCGAGGATGGCCAGGTGCTTGAAGTGGAGGCCCCAGTTATGAGGGGTGACCACACATTTAGTGGCTTCAAAACCAGTTGTAGGCGAAGTTGAACTTAAAGGTGATGGCGCTGCCAAGGCACATGCATGGGTGAAGTGATAGGCCAAGCACTGCAAAGCCAAAGACTACATGAGTTGCAAAGGCAAAAGTCAAAGACAAAGGCAAAGGGAAAGGGAAAGGGGGTGGCCCCAATCTGGAAAAGAACCGTGTGCATTAGCAACGTGCCCTAATGGCCAAGGCATTTCCAATCTCAGTCTGCCTCAAAAGAGAACCAACGATTTTCTAGGTTAGAATTACATTACATAGTTTGATAGAATCAAACCGAAAATTGGAAATACCTTTCATAAATAAAATCATGAAATAGCAAAAAAAAGCGTAAAACAAGATGGTGGTCATCAAAAATTTCTCCACATGCTTCTGATATAAAAACACAAATATCGAATATTCATAATCAACGTACTCATAATTTCACTGAACTATGATGAATACATATACGCAAACAGAGGTAAAATCGATGTGGATCGATTTCTACCTCGATTTGATTAAAGTTATGGCGAATGATCGAAGTAGTCGAAATGACGTTCGATGGATATTTTAAAATCGTACAAGAAATAAACCACTTACATATCGACTATCTATAAACTACAGGCAGACCCAGCAATAAAACTGTATAGTATTATAAAACTCACCATTTTGTCTTATTCGGACACACATTCTACAAAATTCTAGCACATGGTGCTATATGACCTCATGCTACAGAGAACAAAATTCTTAGCTCTTGCTAGATCGGCGGCTCAAGTCATAAAGAAGCGCGAGGAAGATCGCAGATCAGGAACTCCGCATCAAGCGCGCTCCAAGTGGGAATGTTTCCAAGTAAAAAAGCTAGAGATGGGATTAATGAAATGATAATCGAGAAGTGATTTAATAAATACGATCGGACGGTGAAACCGTTACACTCGCCCCTACTTAACCAGAAAAAAATTCGAAGAAGCATTCAAGTATTTTTTTTTAACAAGGAAATTGAAACTTATCACGGAAGGACAAATGTACAACCATTCGACCAGATAACAAGTAGCAAAAGTAAGGTAGAAACAGAAATGTTAGAAGAGAATTGGAAGAAAAAGGGATAGCCTCAAGTCTACCAAACAAGAGGGATGGTTATAGCACCAACTCGCTGAAAAGTACAGTGAAGTTGCACTTAAAAAAAATATCATCATATGATGATCAACCCAAAACATGAAACATCGTCACACCTAGGACGAGAAAAATAATAAACCATAAGCTTCAGCAGTAGTCCAAGCACGAAGTGAGGAATCACAATGGCTTCCAAAATGCACGACTGACTACTAAACACTGCAAAACTAAGTAAGTACCTAAACCATAAGAGGTACTAAAAAAACAGAATAAACTTTCTCAAGATAATTGCCAGATTATCTCGCAATGCTCCAAACCCAAAAAGAATATCATCTACAGTGATATTTTAAACCAATATCCAATATAAAAAAACTGTGCATTACTATTTTCAAAATATGAAAATCAAAAGAAATTAACAAATTCTAATAGGAATTCAAGTCATATAACAAAACAATTTACAAGTACTAAGCCAATGAAAACTTGATCAAGAAGGTATTTTAATCAAAAAAGATGTTAACTAAGTGCAGTTCTGATTCCACAAAAAAATTGTCGGGCGCCAGCAGTCTGTAAGACTACAAAATAATTCAAAATGTTTTCAGAGAATTAAAGTATATCAGAGACATTCATGAAATATTGAAGTAAGATTTTCAAAGTCAAAATATAGCTTAAGTTCAATCAATGAACTAAAATTCAAGAGTAAGTTCAACCAAAATTTTCGGGTCATGTGACAATATAAGAACCAGACCAAAAAAAAAAATCTGAAGTTCAATATAGAAAAGAGCAAAATATATTTCCAAAAAAAGTAAGTGCAACACAAGTACAACTGTAAATCTAATAGTATTAAAATCATAAAGTGAAAGGAAATATCAAAGCCATATGAGCATGATTTTATAAAGAATTCTCAAAAAATACAAAAGTAAGCAAAATATTAAAATTTTCATGAGTAATAATTGAGAAATGAAGTGAGCATATGTAAAATGCAAAATAGCGAAACGAAAATCACAAGATATTTTAATAAATCATGATACATGAGAGTAATGCCGCAAGCAAAAATTGTATGCAAAAGTCTACGATATATGTAGTTGCAAAATTGGAGTTATAAAAAAAATCTAGTGAACAAGAAATAGAAATAAATATGATAGGTAAGAATTCGAATTTTGATTTAAAGCAAAATATGAGAGAAAGACAACTTTATAGGGTCACCATAGGTGCACTCCAAAGCCCTAGACAAGAATGTCTATAGTCTATGGAATATTCTCATGTAGATCACTGATATCATCAGCGCACTAGTCTACACTGAGAATAACCATATCATTGTAAAATGAAAGTTAAGTTCAAATATGAAATATTACAAGATTAGAAAAACTATAATAATTTACCAATGTAAAGTATGAGAAGAAAATTACTATACTGAATCTATAAGAATGGCGATTACTTCAAGTCAAGACAGAAATTGAAAGAAATAAGATATCGGAAAAAAAAACTATAAGAGCAGACTATCAAAACAAATGCAATAATGCAAAAGCAAAATCACCAGATATTTCAAAATCTATAGCGAAACATGAAAGCAATGTCGCAACCAAGCTCAAGACTTAGCAATACGCACAAATGTGCACAAAGGCTGAAAGCATATATGAAAAATCTCAAGAAGGAATTGACAATTACTTCAAATCAAATTGAACTGATTGAGTTGAACTGAGACATAAATTACTATATCAAAAGTGAGTTTTACTTATACGCCAGAGGTTTCAAGAGTTTATCAATACGCACAGATTTGCAACTAGGCGGAAAGCATATAGACAAGTCTCAAGAAAAAACAAAATGCATATGAAGAAAACACTTTCAATTAAAGAAACTGTGGATAGTACAAGACCCTCAAAGGCATACATCGCAACGAATCTATGTAACTATCCAGACTACAAAATACTGTCCAAGTTCAAAGCCACTCAAAAATATATGAACAAA